GATAATATGAATGACCGTGCTCGTAAACTAGCTCGTGAAGAGTTTGCAAAGATGCGTGGTTTTATGGACCAAGAGCCTGAAGGTATTCCTTTGGAGGAGATCGACCTTGATAATGATCCAGAATTCAAGAACGCAGAGGTTGCCAGGTACAGATTACTAAAAGATCCTAACCATCGACCAGAAGAAGTGGCGAGGTTGGAGGAGGCAATGAACGATCGTGCCCATGAATTGGCAAAGATCCTCCTCGCGAATGACCGTGCGTTCCTTGATCCCGAACCGGAGGGTGTGCCGCTTTCAGAACTGCCACTTGATACAGACAAGGAATTTAAAGAGCTTGCAATGCAACGACGTAAACTTAAGCAGAGTGGCAAAAAAGGTAGAGATCCTGAGTTAAAGGAGTTGGAGTCCAAGATGAATGACCGTGCACACGAGCTTGCTAAGGAATATCTTCGTAATAATCGTTCATATTTGGATCCTGAACCAGAAGGTGTACCATTGGATGATATTGCTCTCTCTCGTGATCCTATATTCAGGGAGATGGAACAGGAACTGATAAAAGCAATGAAAGATCCTCGTGCTTCTAAAGATAAGTTGAATCATCTTAAGGACGATCTTAACGATAGAGCACATGAACTTGCCAAGGAATTACTAAAGAAAGAACGAGCATTTCTTCGACCTTTACCATTGGGAGTACCTCTTGGAGATCTACCACTTAATTATGATCCAATACTTAACCCCTTGGAACGCAAACGTCGTGCACTGAAGAGTGATCCTAGAGGGAACGCTGATGCTATTCGCACCTGTGAGGATGATATTCAAGATCGAGTGAATGAAATTGTAAAGGAGTATTTAGATAAGGAGCGTTCTTTTCTTGATTCTGAACCAGAAGGGGTACCACTATCTGAGCTTCCATTGGATGCAGATAGACTATTTCACGATATGGAGTGTGATCTTCGAGCACTAAAGAAGCTTCCAGCGAAAAACAAGAAAGAGATTGAAGAGTTACAAGATCAAATGAACAATCGTGCACATGAATTGGCTAAAGAGCACTTACAGAAGAGACGAGCATTCCTTAACCCTGAACCTCTTGGCGTTCCACTCAGCGAATTACCTCTTAACGATGATGAAAAGTTCCGCCAACTTGAAGAACGTCGTTTAGAAATGAAAAAAAATCCAAAAACTACAGCTGCAGAACTAGAGGAGATAGAAGATGAAATGAATGATCGTGTTAAGGAGTTGGCAGAGGAACAACTTCGAAGGGAACGTGCCTTCCTTGATCCTGAACCTGAAGGTATTCCACTTTCAGAACTGCCACTGAGCAAAGATAAACACTTCCGTGAAATGGAGAAGAAACTACGCGGACTTAGAAAAGATCCACGAAAGAACGCAGAAGAAATTAAAGATCTTGAATATGACATGAATGATCGTGCGCATGAGTTGGCTCGTCGCCAGTTGACAGATGATAGGAGCTATCTTCCTATTGAACTTTGTGGGGTTCCTTTGACAGATCTCCCGCTTGATGATGATGAGAAATTCCGAGAACTTGAACTGGAACGTCATAACCTTAAGAAGGATCCAAAAAGAAACGCAGATGCTATTCGTGATATTGAGGATAAATTAAATGACCGAGCCTTTGAAATTGCTGCTGATTATTTACGAAAGGAAAGAGAGTACCTTGATTCACAACCTGAAGGAATATCAATAGACCGTGTACCACTGGATATGGACAGAGAATTCCGAGAGATGGAGCAGGAACGTCGACGATTAAAGAAAGATCCCAACAACAAAAAGGCCGTATTAGACCTTGAAGAAAGACTCAATCAACGTGCACGTGAACTTGCATTGAATATCCTTGGATGGCAGGATGTAGAATTTCATGAAGCTAACAAAGATGTTGCAGAGGAATGGCCACGTATTTGTGAATTATATCCAGAAGGTATTCGTGAGGATGTTGTACCTGAAATAACCCAACCATCCGATGTGTGTTCGGCTCCTGGCTGTGCTGGTTGTTTGGCACCTTTTATTGCTGCACTTGGTCGTCATCCTCCTCTTATTCATCGTTTATTTGTGTCGAAGGTACACCCTATTAATGAACCTTATTCTTTTACGTTTTTCGATCCTAATAGTAGTCCAGTACGTGTTGATATTGATGATCGTATTCCATGTGATTCAAACATGGAACCTAAATTTACGCGAGTGCCACATCGTTCGTGGTATCCTTTACTTCTTGAAAAAGCCTATGCTAAATTTGTTGGTGGATATTCTAAACTTGATCAATGTACACCACATGAGACACTTCGTGATTTAACAGGTCGTCCTGTTTTGCATATTCCATTTGATGAACGATTAGCTGAAGCAGCAAATACAGGTGATTACAAATCTGCTGCTTTCTGGCGTGGGGTAACGAAAAATCTTGAGCAAGGCGATGTGATCACATGTATGTCTAATGTGGAGTGTGTGGATGGTATTCATCCACAGTGCAGTTATGCTCTTTTGGGTGTTATTAATACTCTAATGGAATCTAATGATCCTGATGATGTTGTTATTAAACTACACAATTGTTATTTTGACAAACCTTTGTACAGTGGGCCTCTAAATCAACATGATCCTAATTGGACAGCTGATCTTAAGAGGGTTTGTAATTTTGATCCTGAGGAAGATGAGGTGTTATATTTACCACTTCCAACATTCCTGCGTAATTTTTCAAGTATGCAACGATGCCACATTAATTGTAGTGATCGATTCAGTTCTCCGGGTGAGTGGAATGAATATACTTCTGGAGGTAATCCAAAGTTTACTACATTCCGTAATAATCCGATTTATGTGGTTGAGAATAAGACAACACGACCTGTGACAATTCTTGCGGAATTGCGTCATCATACACCGGCATTTACTGACCCTGATGGTTTGAATCATTATCACCAAACTGGATTGGTACTTATGCAAGCGGTTCAAGCAAAGATGCCATTAAGTCCTCTCATTACAAGCACTACACACAAATTTCTTCAGAAGGGCATGATGCTTGATGCCAGAGAAGTGTGCTCACAGATGGAGTTACCACCCAGTTCCACTTGTTACCTCATTCCTTACACAATGAAACGTGGTTGCTACGGTAAGTTCTTTGTTTCTATTTATCCTGGAATGGCGAAAGTGACATTGACTCCACTTCGAAATGCCGGACTAAGACGTGAACCGCTTACAACGCAAGTTAATCTAACTCCTGGTAGTTCGGAAGCCACAAGGGTGGACTTTTTACTGAATGATCCTTGTGATGTACATGTACTCGTACGTCAGATGAAGGTTAGCGATTCTTCATCTCTAAAGAAGGGTGATGTGGTGGGTGAAGATGATGTTTCTGTGAGTGTGTATAATGAGTATGGAATTAAGGTAAGTTCATCGGAGTTCACAAATGCACGTGAACAGGCACTTGTCTTCCGCGTTACTCAGGGTGGACGTTATTCCGTCGCTCTACTTTGTTCCAGCAAATCAAAGTCCGCTGATTGTCCATGTTTGTTGTCTATTTATACACCAAAAGATACCACTGCTGATTTTGTGCCTGTACCACCGGATGCAAAGCCATTTGATCAGCAAGTGCGATTCCCAGTGATTCCGAGAAGTGCGCCTAATGTAAATCGCACAGCCAGTCGAGAACGAACGTACAGTCGCGATCGCATGGTGCGGCGAAGTGACTCGCTGCCACCCATTCAAGGTGCCGGTCGTGGTCAACGTGCTAGCGTAAACGGTGGACTGGCACCACGTCGTCCAAGTAGAGGACGCAATTAGGATGAAAAGAAAAAAGGGGTTTTTTGTTTCTTTTTTTTTTTTTTCCTTTTTAGATACAATTTTCTTTTTCTCTTTATTGTTGTAATTACCATGAGTATGATGAGTATTACTTCTACTAGTACTAGTGATAGTACTAGTATTACTGGTATTGTTACTATTGTTATTATTATTCCTTATTCAATTTCTAAAAGAAATTTTTTTTTTTTTGCTTTTTTTCTCTCCTTCTTTATTTTCACCCTCTCTGTCGTTTCTGTGTTGGGTTTGGGGGGATGATTCCGAGAGAAGATAACTGAATCTTCTTTCCTTTCCCCACCTTTATTTGCCCACACATTTAAAACAGACACTGAGTTATGATAATGTTTATTTTTCTTTTTTTTTTGTTGATTTTTGCGCGACAGGAGGGATAAGGTAAATATAAGTAGGTAGAGGGGATTGGCGCATTTGTTTTTTTTTTTCTTTTTTTCTTTTTGTTTTTGTTTTTATGTATTTGGGGCTTGTCATTGTCTAGTGTATCACTCACCAGTGTTTTTTTTTTTTTTNNNTTTGTTGATTTTTGCGCGACAGGAGGGATAAGGTAAATATAAGTAGGTAGAGGGGATTGGCGCATTTGTTTTTTTTTTTCTTTTTTTCTTTTTGTATGAAGGAATTGAGATGTCTGTGACACGGAACGAGGTTTCGGCTCTTCTTCAGGAGGTCTGATTCCATTTTTATTTATTTATTTTTGTTCTCACTTTATTGATTTTTCACATCCCTCTCCCTCTCCCCACCCCTCCTCCTCTCTTTCTTTATCTCTGTATGAATCTATTTATTTGTATCTCTCAGACTTTGTGTTTTCTCGCATACTTGTTGTCTTTCTTCTTACCATTAATTTCTTTCAACTTTGTGTTTCTCTCTCATTTTCGTTTCTTTTTTTTTTCTTCTTCTTCTGCAGGTTTATGACTGGTGTCGTGTTTATCGTATCATTGTTTCTGTATTTGTATGCAATGATGGCCTTTTCTTTTTTTTCTTCTATTGGATTTTCATTCTTTTGGTTTTTCAGTATTTTTGTATGTGAGTGAGTGTGTGTCTCTTTTTTTTTGTTTTTTTTCTTCTCTCACACTATACTACCACTCTTTTTTTTTTTTTTTCTTGTTCTTGTTTTTTTAGATTTTTATCATTAATTGTATGTTTTTCTTTCTTTATTTGAGGGTCATACTAATATGGTGTTGGTTGTGTTTTATTTCTATTTGATTGATTTATTCCTGTCTTTTTTTTTTTTTTCTTTTTAGTTTCTCATTTGTTGTGTTGTTGGTCTATTCTGCTGTTTTTATTTTATTTTTCTGTGAAGATGGATGGAATGGGAGGGCGCTGCCGATCAGGTTTGGGGAAGCCTGTATTTGCAGCAACAGCAGGAGTAGTAACAACAACCATCACAACAGGTGTGAACTAAAGGAATAACGGAAAAAGTAAAGAAAAAAAGAATAATAAAAGAGAAAAAAAAAAAAAGAAAAAAGAAATTTGACGAGATACGATTGGGGAACCGTGTCTTTGTTTATATTTCTTATCTTTTTTTTTTTTTTTTTATCTTTTCTTTTTTAATTTTTTTTTTTTTTTGTGTTTCTTTGTTTTTCTGTTGGCATGTGGGCATGTCTCTTTTTGTATTTACGTGCCCCACTTTTGAGCTTCTCCAATCAATCTTCCACAGCAAAGCAGCATCATGTCTGTACACCCCATCTATCTATCTATCTATCTAACTATATATATATATATATATATATTTAGACTGTATGTATGTTCATGCGTATGTGTTTCCATTAGGGACGCTGCTTAACATTGGGTGTGTACAAAGAGCTGCGGGCGGACGATACGATCAAAACTTTTTTGACGTGCGTGAAATGTGGAAACAAAAGAGAGAGAGAGAGACGGAGAAAAGAGGATAAAAAGCAAAAAAAAAGGTAAAATAATAACGGAATAAAAGGAAAGATTCTACTGATGGTTATTATTATTATTATTATTATTATTATTATTATTATTAGTGGTGGGTAAATTCACAACAGTAGTGATAAGAGCAAAAATAGACACCGGGGGGGGTGGTAAAATAAAAAAGAGAAAATTAAATTAAACTTCTCATTTCTGACATGTACGGCAAAATAGATGGAAAGAAAGAAAGAAAGAAAAAAAAAAAAAAGAGATAAAAATGGACTGACAGTTTGTGTGGTTGAAATAGGGGACTTCCACTCACTGTTCCCATTTTTCTTTCTCTTCTTCTTGTCATGATTTGTGATGATTGTCTTTTTTTTGTTTTGTTTTTTTTTTCTTTTGTCTGTGTGGGATATTTTTTAAAAAAAAAAAGAAAAAGAATATAAGGGAATAAATAAAGTGAAGAGTTGAAAAAAAAAAAAGTGTTTTTTTTTTTTTTTTCTTTGTCGTCTCATCTTTCTTACCGCCTTTGTTGTTCCCTCGTTGAAATCTTCGCACATCATAATTTTCTGCGGAGATGTTTCTTTATTATTATTACTATTAATACTACTACTATTATTATTGTTATTAGACTATTGCGCCTAGAACAAGCTCTACCATCGTTGTATTAATAAAAAGGCAAAATAGTCTTTTTTATTTAATACCAGAGTGTAGGAAGTATTACTACTATCATACGAAGAACAATGGGTATATTGGTATGAAGCGAACGTGGAAGTTAACATCACACCGTGGTGCGAGTGTGAAATGAGAAAGAGAGAGAGAGAGAGTACACAAAGGAAAGAGGGAAAGCAGAAAGAAGCAACATTATGGTAGAGAAAGAAATAATGAATATATATATATATATATATATATATATATATATAT